GGTTAAAGAGGAGCAAGAGAAGGTAGGGTTGGAAAGAGGTGGCTCTTAATACTAGGACTCACCTTGGAGCTGAGGTCCTCTCGTCGGTTTCCTGCCTTACTCCTGCGTAATTTGATGGATGGGGATCGCAGCAGGTTCTTGATCCGGCTGGTAATGGTTGACCCTTCCACAGCCATCATGATGAGCAGCCGCTTGGGACAGTCCCAGGCCCAGGTCTGAGACTTGTCTCAACAGCAGCACTGCCTTCCCACTCCACAGGGCCTTCCAATATGCCCTCTCACTGACCTGAGATGGCAGAGGCCACCTTAGCATCACAGTAGGTGTCTTACCTTCCTCCTAGCTAAGTCTGCAGCTTTTACCTCTAGGTATTGCCCTCTTCTTTTCCCTCATCCCCACCTTCAAGCCCTGTGCGGTTTCTTACAACGCTGGAAGGACAAACCCATGTAAAAAGAGGGGGAAATCCTGAGCTGCAAAAAAAATGTCAGGCCCACGCCTGCCAGAGGCGCTTAACATGAGAGACGGTATGGGATGGGCTGTAGTAGGGCTAGAGGTCGGTCTGGTCCCCGTTAATGCCCAACTATTCCCATGGCAACTGCGGTGTCCAAGGTAGGAGGCCACTGAGACCACCGGGGAGTTCCACTGGGCGCCTGAGCACCTGCACTCGCGGCCGCGGGGAATCAGCGCGGAGGGGCTAGCTGTGGCCCAGCAACTCGTTCTGCCACCGGAGCCTCCCTCCCCCACCCCTCCACCCTACGGAGTTCGCTCTCCGCCCTCCGCACCGGCCCTGGATCTTTCTCTTTCACCCGCCTCAGAAGCCCGTGCTACTCGTCAGCGCCCCCGCTCGGGCCCAGCCTCACCAGCCCCGGGGCGCGAGGGGCACCCGGCTGACAGCCCCCTCAGGCATCGCGCTCGGCGATTTTTGCTCCGCCGCGGCAGCCGCACAGGCAGCTATGGTGGCACGAGCGGCTCAAAACGCGAACTACCGCCTGGGCCAAGCTACGGGCTGCGTAGGCGGAGCCGACGTGAGGGGGTGTGGCCTGCAGCCAAGAGGGCGTTTCCACAGTGGACGCGCAAGGTTTACGGGGGCGGAGCCAATAAAAGGGCCTAGGAAGCAGAGGACTTGGCCTCAAGAACCACGTATTCCGCACAATGTGGGGTACTGCTCTTAGAGGAAAGTCAATAGAACTTGGCTTCAGAATTGAGAGAACCAAGCCTTTTATGGTATTATAAGGCCTGGTCCCCCAGAAAACTGCACTTCCCAGTGCCGGAAGACGGTAATCACGCCCCCAAGGTGCTAAAGTTGGCATTTCACAGGTCAGAGGGACTATAGCTGAAACTAGCTCTTAGCTCAGAATTGCAAGACTGAGGTACAGCCAAGAAGCTTTGCTCTCACCGACCCCAAGCGCTGGGATTTAAAACATTTGAAATAGTTTCTGATAGCGGTCAGCCCAGCGCGATGACACAAGTGAAAAGGATTTTTCTGAGTAACCCAATTCAATCGCCAACAATAGTTTTGAACTGGGCAACCTGATTGGTCATGATGAAAGGGGAGAAAGAGGGCGGCCTTGTGTAGACTTCAGGCGTGAGAGCAAGAGGGAAGACAAGTGAATGCGCTATGGAATATACTGTATTTGTTTCATGGTTTCTTTAGCCTCCAACGTCCGTCCCATCGCGATCTCTCACTCAAAGTTAACTACGATTTTGTTACTTCAGATCTGTTTCTTGTTCCTGTCAAAATTTACTAGTGAATCTTTCTCCCTAGAACTGTTACTTGCCGAAGTCACTGTCAAGCTTCTGATACCAGATCCAGTGGTATAGTTTCTCTAGCTAATAAGGGGAAGGGGGAAATACACATAAATATCATTATTTATATTTCATAGATGTTTAAGCCTAACACTTTATTTTCTAGGAGCCCCAGGATTTTCTACCTGGCTACTATTACAAAAAATTACCTTAAGAAAAACTTAGCCTAAGCCTAGACTTGGGCCCCGAGGGTAGCACACTGATGTGCCTGTCTCACCCTAACCCAATCTTTGAAATCCCTGTGGGGTGACATGTTAGCAAGAGGGAAGAACCACTAAACTCATTGCTGTGGGTGGACCTTGTACAACCAAGTGGCAGAACAGGTGTGTGCTTGTGTGAACTGTGGCCACATACTGGGATTTGTAAAGCTCCTAAATTTACATGGAGATAGGGATGTCACCTCCCAGAAGACCCACTGGCAATAGCTACAAGCTAAACGGCCTTCCTTCCCTTCAATCATGCACTGATGTAATGAAACGTAACATGGGATTTTCAAATTTATTTCCCAAATCTGGAGGAAGAAGGCAAGCGCCATTAGCCACAACAGCATGAAAAGAGGTAGGTGGTTTCCTTCAATCCTTAGCTTGTCTGATTTGACCTCTCCATGGGAGTAAAAGCTAATAAAGCAAAAGCACTGCTAATAAATGGTGCCACCTGGTGTCTTTACTTGTGTGCTGCAGATCCCAGCAACCACCATATCCACCTCTAAAGGAAGACTGTGTCTGTCCACAAGCGTTGTCCCTAATCCTCTCCAGATCTTGTGTGTCCAGTAGCAGTTGTCTCATTCACCTAACCACTCATGGCCAGGTAAATGGGTTTAAAAGTGTCATTGGTCACTTTTTGTCCAAAGCCACCCTGCTTTATCCCCCTAGAGAAAATCTTCCCCCTATTACCCTCATCTGAAGCTGAAGCTGGAAAGGCAAATCCAAGTTTCTGCTTTCCTGTCTAAGATGATCTACCTGGAAAAACTGAGGACGGTGTAATGAGGGGAATTTCTTAAGTCTGGAATTTGGATACTTCTAGCCTAAGGCCAAAGCCATGCATTTTTAATTCTTCCCAACTCAGTCCAACTTTACTGTCTAGGTACTGTGCTGCCTATGAGATACCAGGTATGGGAATAGGTTGTAGGTTGATCCCATCCTTCATGAATTCATTCCTCAGAAAATAAGTCCCAGGTCTAATGTAAATAGAAGTGTTAACTTTTCTCCACAAAAATTAAACAGTCATGCACCACATAACGACATTTCAGTCAATGACAGACTGAAAGGTCCCATGAGATTATAGTACCATTATTCTTACTGTACCTTTTCTATCTTTAGGTACATTTAGATACACAAATACTTATCATTGTGTTCCAGCTGCCTACAGTATTCAGCACAGGTTTGTAGCCTAGAAGCAGCAGACTATACCATATAGCCTAGGTGTGTAGTAGGTTATACCATGTAGGTTTGTGTAAGTACACTACACTCATGATGTCTGCACAAGGAAATGGCTGAAAAAAGCATTTCTCAGAATATATCCCCATCATTAAGCAACATATGACTGTACTTGCTATCCTACCCTCCAAAATCCAATTGATTCTTAAGTATTTCATCATCCATACGCTATTTCATTTTATTCTGCGTATATATGCCCTAAATATCTATACATGGAGTTTGTCAGATTTTGAAATTCTAGGTATCTGGGAATAGATCTTAAACAGTTGTTTGTTTAGCACTACGCTCACTAGATCAAATTTTTAAATTCACCCTAGGATTACTGCAAATAAGGTGCAATTCTAAGATCCTGGAAAATTAACAGTCTAAACATTTGCTCATCAATTCAAATATTAATTGAGCAACTTTACATGCAAGACACTGTGAGACAGCTGAGACCAATGATTGCAGTTGGAAACAGGATGAATCTCTAAACAATGCTTCCAAGACTGCTTTCCCATTTTAACAAAAATCTCTTCTACCAGCAGAGATTAAAATGAAAAAATGTAGTAGAATTTAGATTTGTCTCAAAATTTCCAACTCATCTCATGGTTTAGCCTTCCCATCCTCCTCACACATCTCCTTCACTGTTGGTCAACACTTATGTGCCTTTGTAGAGCAGTTATGTTTATTACAGTTATGCCTCAGTTAAAAAGTTGTATATATCAAATTATTTTCCTCTATTTCAAAAATGCATTTTAACTGATTTTTTCCCCTCCAGCTGGCAATGAGCCTGAATACCTCAGCTTTAATTTTCTCTGCACTTAACCATAAATGTCCATGTAAAATTTCATTAGTGATAATACAATGACGTTAGTATTGATGTCCTAACAGAACTTTCTTCAAAACCAACACCTTTGTACAAGAAATTTGTGCTGATTCTTGGTTATCATTCTCATAAAAGTACCTGAAAATGTACTTGCCTACACACTGTGCATGGCTTTTTAAATTGTTTTAATTCTGGGAGTGAGGGACAAGGGCCATCAATATTTTCTAGACCTGTCTTCAAAGTGCATTTACCTCTCAATTTGCCTTACCCCATTCTATTTGAAATAGCTCAACCACTAAGTTAGAAAAAAAATACTACTAAACTCTACCCAAAATAATATATGGATTGTCTGCCATTCTTCTGTGTTTAAAACATGTTCAAATTTGTTACAGAAAGGCCTAGCATATTTCATCCACAATTCTGGGGGAAAAAAATGCATTTACTATAAAATATATAAAGTGAACAATTTGTATGAAGCTTACATAACTAAACTTGTTCTGTTAGTGACCTTAAGCAGATTAAGAGTAGCTCAATGTCTAAAGGACTCCGTTAAACTTTTTTGTAAATTATGATACTAAACATATATTCTACCTTAAGAATACCTATTGTCCTTAGCCACTAAGATTGTGTTTATGTCCTATTATTCCCCAAGATAACAGGTAAACTGCCTTGCACACACTGGTACCATGAGGCTATCTTTCTTCACTGTAGAATGACTTTTAAGATAAATATTTGCCATCAAGTTGTACAAAATTTTGAAACCTCCATGTAAAACATGCTATAAAGATTAGAACACCAACATCACCACCCCCAAATTGGCATGTCAGAAAATTCGAGAAAAGGAAGGAATTCCTATGATAAAACTACTTCGGTGGCATATCTCTCATATGTGTCTCATGGAATTAGAATTCTCTACCCCAACTTGGCACAAACCTGCCAACACCAAGTCCTGCTTTAATTATTATAACTGATTCATTCCAGGTTTATACAGTCTGCCTTCCCATCACCAAACTTCTTCTGTACTTAGGTTTCTAAAAAAATAGTCACTTTTCAAAAGCAGAAAAGGAAAGATATATATTTAATATATAAAAGAAAATGCTAAATCTGACATAATTATATTCTTAAAAACATTCCATTTATTTACAGATGTTATAAAAAGGCGAATTATTGGTCTACTGAGATCATGCTTCTTATAGAGTTAGGTTGAGAGCTCACTGTCTTCCAGATTCCTCAACTCCTCTCACTCATCTTTCATAATCACACATGTAATTTTCATAGTTAGTTCTTCCTGGGGTAAGGTTAAAGGGCAAGAGTTTTTGGAAATTTAGATTTCTGTCAAGACTGCAGGATTGTTTTGAAGACTGAGCCTTCCTCAAATTACCTCTGAGGACACTTAGTTCTAAGAGGTCTTGAGAACATTATCTTTTGGGTTTGTAGTAACATCTGCGGCCTTCCCCATAAACACCTGGAATCATCCTTCACTTCTATCTTTATATATCTCTCATAAACAGAGTTAAATATTATCCTCTAATCAAGAATTATTACCTGTTTGCCTATTTTCTTCTTAAAAAAAAAAAAAAAAAAAGGAAGTGTTCAGAAGCTAAAATGGTCCTTCTTTTCCTGAGGATTGTTCACTCACTTGCCTGCTCCTTGGCTGACCCTCAAAAGCCACAAAGAGCCTTGGGAAGTCAGGAGGAAATGTGGGGAAGAGACAAGCAAGGAAATAATGGGAAACTGCTATACCTGGGTTAAAGTCCTAGCGTCTCTAAGGACAATTACTAGCAGGGGAGACAGGTGCTGGACTGCTTGGCTAAGGCATTGAATGAAATCTGCTGGGTAGAGTGGAAGGGATGAGAAGCTGAGGAGCACTCTTTACCTACTTCAAGCTTCTTCAGTAACCTTTAGGGGAGGGAAGGTTAAGTGCTGATGAGCAGGTCTAGGAAAGCAAGCAGCACAAAACCAACAAGAATTTGATCATACTGCAAAAATTTGCAGAGAAAGTTTTCTACCCTTTTCGATCTGTTGATTACCAGAGTTAATAGGGAACCAACTATGGAAGTAGTAATTCACTGGCTATATCCATTCCAAAGTTGGCCTCACAACCTAGGTCTGACAATATGCTGAGTGGGATTTGGGATAAAGAAGGCAGGGGATGTAGAAGAAATAACATCAACCTAGGCACAGCCCAGGCACTGGAAGCTCTTGTGTTAGTGTTTTACAACACAAGCAAATCCTGTCAATGAAGACAGAACAGGGGTTACATTCCAAAATATAATTATTTAAGAAAGGCAAAATGCAGCAGCTAAATCCCAGTCTATACAGTTTCAGAATAGTGATTCTTGCCCCCAGGAGTTTCCAAGAGACCCCTCAAGTGCACCATGATTATTTACAAACTAGATAGGAAACATCATTTCTATACTCAATACAAATCTCATCTTCTAGGTTGAAAACTTCAGCCTTTGAGAAATCTATGAAAACAACTATACAAAAATATAAATATCTTTATCTTTACAGACTGTCAGTCCTTCATACTCTGACAGCTAACAAGTGAAAAAGCTCTACAGATCATTGAATCCATGGTAGCAGATAAAAAATATATCTTGTGATTCAAATACTGCCTCATTTCCCTGGTAAAAGAGTGCCTACTGTGACTTTTCTTTACATCCTCTGCAGATAATAGTGAATGAAACCTTCAAGCACCAGGAGGCTGGTTTGATTTGGGAAATATCCAGCCCCACAATTTTTGATTTTGGCCACTATCTCTGGTCTGGGGAGAAAATGCATTTCACTTTAGCTGTCTCTTGAGTGACATGATTTGTGAAAGGGGTAGTGCTCCTTCCATGCCTACCTCCAAAATACATATTCCTAGTAGAAATCCCTGGCACTGTGAAATGAAATTTCAACACCCACCCAATAAGGGAGAACTAGAACTACTATTTTCTGTAACATCTCAAAATAATTACCCTTAATAATAAAAGTTAAACGTATCCCTACGTTATCAGAAGGCTTGAATTTGTAATTCTAATTGAAAAAGTGAGGGAATGGAAGCTACTTGGTATATGAAAGAAGAGAAAATTCTCCCGAATGACACAAAGTCCTTCACTTTGGTATTTTACGGTACCCATCCTCTCTCTCCCTATTCTTGAAACATCAATTAAAAATTATCTCTTCTGGATCCCTTTGCACAAGCGCATCATATTCCTTAGATTTCAGACTTAACCCAACAGCTATCAGCTACATTCAGTCCATAGCAACTCCAAAGTTGCAAGCAGCTTGTTCTCCTGGGGGGAAGAACTAGGAACCACTATGGAGCCAGAGTCTTGTTATGAATTCCTTGTAAGAGGGGCACCTCGTGTTTAGTAATGGATCACATCTTCTTAGAGAGGATGAGGGAACCCAGCACCACAAGTGAGGTAACACATTTTAACATGATCAGAATTTCATAGTATTTCTTATACCAGGGTCAGCACCCTACCCCCTTTCTCTATTATCCACCGCATCAACAAAGTCAAGGACCAAAGATCCAAGACACAAATAAACAGATGCCTGCAGAGAAAGGAGGTGAGATTCAATTTCCCCTCCTAGCCTGGCTTCTGCCTGAGGATAAATAAGTTCATTTCCCTGCAGAACTTGGTGAGGCCCCAGAGTTGCCCAATTTAGCCACAACAGGTGCCAGTGTAGGCATCACCTTGCTTTCCCGGCCTTCCTGGTCACTCCCTGTTAAGTTCATTTTGTGTCCAACTGACCCAACTTTGCCAGCTATAGGTGCCAAACAAGGCATCACCTTGAGACTCTGACCATCTGCATCATTGCAAGGATTAGCTACTTTTAAACCTAGAGGTGCCAACTTTGGCATAGGCCTCCACAAAGTATCTGTGCTGCTGCTATTCTCCAGACCAGTCCTCATGTGTAGGAGAGGGGGTGAGGACACACTTTCAGGCTCTGCAGGGAGGTCAGAAGTACTCTTCCCTCCATCACTAGTTTTCCTGTGGGAAAGAAGGGAATCCTTTATCTCAGAGTCAATAACAATCTTAAGTACATCTGGCTCAGAGGCTGGTTCTGCAAGCTGTTTTTCATTCTCAGAAAAGTCATCATCTTCTAAGTGCAAAAGGAGGGGACTAGTGGAGTCACTCTCCCCTTGAACGTCAGGCAACTCTTTCAAACCAGTTCCCAAGTGGCCAACCTGGAAAGCTGCACTGTTCCCAGGGGGAAGCTTACTGATAAAACCCCGTCGAGCATCCCCTGGGAACTCTGTATCCACAGTGCTGGGTAGTTCAGCCAGGCTAACAGAGTCATCATTTAGTTGTTGATTAAGAAAAGCAATCTCATTAAGCAGAGAAGTCAGTGTCTCATCAGTATCATCCTCATCTTCCATATTAGTTAGCAGTTCACTGGAATCAAGTGCTGCTTCCTCTATAGCTGATGTTACTTTCCTCAGTTCCATCTCTATGCTTGAGTCCTTTAGATCTTTCATTTTTAATTTATGAAATGAAGACTCCTTTGACTTCAGTCTCTCCCCTCTTGATTCATTCTCTTTCCATTTATACTGAATCCCTCTGATATCACCAGAAATCTTTTTAGGTAAGAACTCCTGTGCTTCCTGCATACTGGAAACATCAACTATTTGTGGAAAACCAGAATCTTTATTTGCCAGAAAAACCTGCGTTGGACCCAATGTCATTCTGCCATCTCTATGGTTTCCTCTGGAAGAGATTCTACCCAAATCCTCTAAGGAGTTATCTTCATTCCTGATGGTATCTGTCAGGTGGTCAGGTGGCTTGCCATCAGGAACTTCATGAGGATATTTACTGCCACCCATATCTACCAAACCTCCGTCTGTGGCCAGTGATGTCACGTTAACAATTCGTGGCATCATAAATAAGTCATCATTTTCTGAAAAATAAAAACAAAAAATAAAAGAAAAATTTGTTTAGATCTACAGTGTTGAATATCTCTCTTTCTCTCTCAATCATACCAAATGACCATCTTAGAGTTGTAGTCAAAATTCACCAGTCTACTCTTAACAAGATGAAAAAAAAAAAAAATCAGTTCTTCAAAGTATGGATTTAACCTAACAAGAAAATCATCACACAAATCCAACCGAAAGATTCTTGGATAGTCCTTCATTAAGAAAAATTCCATTTAATTATTTTATAGAAATGCTCCCCAAATTAATTCTTATCCTGGGGCAGAAATGTATCTTGATTCTGTTCACCCAATTAACTGCTAATTTGAGGGGAAAATGAAGCCCTACAGGCAACATGGTAAGAGAAAGGGATGAGTCCTTCACAGTGGGTTTGGCAGCAGATAGAGACAGGAACTATTGGCTGTCAAGTGCAACAAAGTAACTAGGATTTTAATATTGGTAAGGACACCCTTTTACTACCTTGATAGAAATTTAGTTGCCTGAAACATAATCATCAAAGTGAGATTTCCTTTTCAACTTTACCCTTTACCCCAAAAGGGAATGGTGCTCAAACTGAATCAGACTAGTAATGCAGGATTGTACCATCTCTGAGCACAACATAAAATTGACAAATAATTATCAACACCAAGAACTAAGACAATGACCCTTCAATGTCTTCTTTTCACTTTGACATCTTTGCAATTCTTCTCCTACTTAGAAATAACTAGGGTTGACAAAATAGTTCCCAATCCCAGGTAAAACACACCAATCAGTATCACAGATAAAGCCAAACTTGTTCTAAAAAGAGTGTCATCTCTTACCAAGGCAAATGCCAACAGAACAGACCTTTATTATTACAAAACACATTCAAAGGCTTCCTGTCACTGTGAGATATCAGGGATACCTTTTTCACTATCCCTACAGAACAACGATTAAGACATACCTGATTGAGCCATAGCACTGCTGCCAACTTGAGGCTTAAGATCAGTTTCTAAGAGACCAGGAGAAACAGTTACTACTGGTCCTGAGAATAGGGGACCTTTTAAAGTGAGCAGTTGCCCTTGTGGAGTCATCACAAGGTTTGCAGAGGTGTGTGGAGTATTCGAGGGTGAGGTATTTTCTGTAAGGAAGACCAGAAATTAGTTATGGATAAAAGACTTTTAATTAATGCTAGTGTAGCCCACAAGTCTAGGAGACGTCTTTAAAACCACACTAACTTAAAAGGTTAAGAAGTAAATTTCAAATTTAGTTAGGGAGACCAGGTGCGGTGGGTCACACCTATAATCCTAGCACTTTGGGAGGCCAAGGCAAGAGGACTGCTTGAGGCCAGGAGTTAAAGACCAGCCTGAGCAACAAGGTGAGACTCCCATCTCTACCAAAAATAGAAATATTAGCTGGGCATGGTGGTGCGCGCCTGTAGTCAAAGCTGCTGGGGAGGCTGAGGCAGGAGGATCATGTGAGCCCAGGAGTTTGGGGGTGCACTGAGCTATGATGACACCACTATGCTCTAGCCTGGGCCACAGAGCGAGACCCTGTCTCAAAAAACAAATTTAGTTAGGGAAACACAACTTGGAATTTATTTTCTTAAACCACTTTTCAATGAATAATGGTTACCTGTCCACCGATTCTCCTAAGGGAGAGAATTTCTTATTTGTTGAGGAATAGAGTTGTGGAACCACATCTTCAATGGAATGGCTTCTGATAGTCTTTTTTATTTTTCAGATGCATTCTCTTATTTATGCTTCTGATAGTCTTGATAGTGTGTCAAAATGAAGGTATACATGATTCTATCCCTAGGCTTCATTTCCTATATACTTCTAACAAATTTAAGTTTCTAGGCCTCAGTTTTCCCATCTGTAAAATGAGGTGACGGGACCAAATAATCATTAAATTCCTTTCTTAGAAGTAATACCATTTGATTCTGCAATGTTAGAAAAACTAATTCATGTTTTAGTATCCATCACTAACTTCTTAGTTTGATGTAATAAATCAGGACTTTCTGGTTCAGACACTGAGATACCCAAAGAGTAAAAAAGGATATACTATTCTCTAAAGGATATAAGTAAATAATATTAAATCAATTTTGCCTCACTTCTAAAATCAAGACATGAGAAAGAATTTAAAACCAATTTACTTTATTCTTTAATAATAATGCATTAATAGGTGATCTGATGAAAGAAAAATAGAGCTCAATTCAACAAAATTAAAAAAAAAAAAAAAATTTCCAGCGAGACATGCTGTGACTCATGCCTGTAATCCCAGAACTCTGGGAGGCTGAGGCAGGAGGATCACTTCAGGCCAGGAGCTCGAGATCAGCCTGAGCAAGAGCAAGACCCCATCTGTACAAAAAAATAGAAAAATTAGCCGGGCATGGTAGTACGCCCCTATAGTCCCAGCTACTCAGGAAGCTGAGGCAGAAGAATCACTTGAGCCCAGGAGATTGAGGTTGCCATGAGCTATGACGATGCCACTGCAGTCTAGCTCAAATGACAGAGGGAGACTTCTGTCTCCAAAAAGAAAAAAAAAATCCAATTTGTCTCAGATAGACCCAAACTTACTCAACTCATCAGCAGAGCTGTAGGGAAACCATAAGTTCACATATAAAGTCTAAAAAGATGATAGCTTTAAAAATTACTCACTAAAAACACACGACTGTAGACTGCTATCAGAATCAGGATTTATATGTTACCACGACTGGTAACATCTCAGGATTTGCTTGAGTGTGTAAAGCCAGAAACCGAAATCTAATGTAGTTAATATTCTACTTTTTACATAACTCATCTTTAATTAAAACTAAAACTATCGCCAAAAGATGACGTTTAGTCCACTAAACTGATGTTCACCTACATTAAGGAAAGCAAACAATGTCCCTCCTACCTGTGGCCTGGTCTCTTTTTCTGGAAAGAATCAAAGGTTTGCCCCTCCTGTTATTTATAAACATCTGTCCAAGATCAACAGATGATGCAGAAGATCCTTCCTGCTGTTTGCTACTTCTGTGAGACACATCAAACTCATCTGATCCCATCTTCTTTTTTCTTTTTTGTGCCTCTAGTGCTTGTTGCTTTGCATAAATATACTCTAGCTTCTTCAGGACCACTTCCTCTGTCTTACCTGCAGGTTGACAGGGAATAAATTATCACTCTCTGCAAGACCCCACATAATAATTAGAAAGAGTCAACTGAAATCCAGTTGATTTAACTACATTCCTCAATACTATGGAAGGCAAAAGTGATTACAGAGATAATAAAAGATAAAAAGATAATTCTGCTGTAAACTCTGGGAGCCAAGCCTTAAAATAAGTAGTATCTGAAAGGTCTTCTAAGGATTTCTCCTCACTAAAGCTATTATTAAGCTCTTCCTAGCACTCTGGGAAGCTGACATGGGAGGAGGATCACTTAAGGTCAGGAGTTAGAGACCAGCCTGAGCAAGAGCGAGACCTGTCTCTACTAAAAATAGAAAAAATAAGCCAGGCATGGTGGTGCACGCCTGCAGTCCCAGCTACTTAGGAGGCTGAGGTAGAAGGATTGCTTGAGCCCAGGAGTTTGAGGTTGCTGACAGCTAGGCTGACACCACGGCGCTAGCCCGGACAACAGAATGACGCTCTGTCTCATAAACAAACAAATAAATAAGAGTGAGGCTCTGTCTCAAAAATAAATAAATAAGTAAAGCAAACTATTATTATGCTCTTAACCAGAGATCATTTACATATCTCACCTGAAAGAGATGATACTTTCCGTATCAGAATATTTCGTTTTCGAGTCAGGAGATTTTTCTGTCCTATCAATTTGTCTGCCTGATCTGTTAGTCCCTGAATTTCACTGAATGCCTAGAACAGAAATAGTTAACATTATTTTCAATCGATCCACTCTTTCCTATAAATAGGTAGGGTCTACACAATTTCTTTAATGAAAATAAATAATTTAGGAGAACTTTTTAATGCTATTTAAAACAATTACTGATGTTTCAGAAATTATTTTTTGTTAAACTGCAAGAGGTTTTCTGGCTTTTACTTTAGGGAATATAGATCATGATTATTTCTAAAGACCATCATTGACTGGGTAATAGGTGATCCACTATTGCAAAGAGATATAAAACATTTGTGCTCTGCTTAGAATTTTTTAAAAAAACTGTTATGGGTACATAATATAGTAGTACATATTTATAGGGTACATGTGATCTTTTGATACAGGTATACAATGTGTAATAATCAAATCAAGGTAACTGGGGTATCTATCACCTCAAGCATTTATCATTTTTTTGTGTTAGGAACATTCTAATTTCACTCTTTTAGTTATTTTAAAGTATACCATAACTTATTGTTGACTACAGTCAATTTGTTGTGCTATCAAATATTGTTCGTTCTATCAAAATATATTTTCACATTTGCTTAGATTTTAATTATCAACTTTAAAATCATTTCCTAGTCTAAAGTAAAATCTGGTTGAAATAACTTTGCTCTAGAGGGATATGAATGCTTATCCTGTCCTGTTCTAACTTTGACACAAAAGCAATTTAAATGAAATTATCTTAGATATTACATATGCAAAGTTAAAACTGCTAGTTTAAATATTTCAGATTTTCCTTTAAAATGATTGTCAACTATTAAGAAGTATGTTAAAATATCGTGTTGTGCTTTGCACTGTGACAAACTGTTCTATCAAGAACACCAATGTAGGCCGGGTGCGGTGGCTCACACCTGTAATCCTAGCACTTTGGGAGGCCAAGGCGGGTGGATCGCTCAAGGTCAGGAGTTCGAGACCAGCCTGAGCAAAGAGACCCTGTCTCTACTTAAAACATAGAAAGAAATAATCTGGACAACTAAAAATATATACAGAAAAAATTAGCCAGGCATAGTGGCGCATGCCTGTAGTCCCAGCTACTTGGGAGGCTGAGGCAGAAGGATTGCTTGAGCTCAGGAGATTGAGGCTGCTGTGAGCTAGGCTGACGCCACGGCACTCACTCTAGCCTGGGCAACAAAGCGAGGCTCTGTCTCAAAAAAAAAAAAAGAACACCAATGTAAAGAGAATGTGGTAAACAGAGCAAACCAGAGTTTCTGACTTTATCTAAAGAAAGGATAGCTCTGTCAGTTAAGAATCTGACTTTCAGTGAAAAGCTACTCTGACTTAACATACTGATTTTCCCCCCTAAGGGATTTACTGGGCGTTCACTAGCCCACACTCAATTGTTAAATACAAGTAGCTCTATTTCAATCTCCCTCACATGGCAATGGATTTCCTTTCTCATAGTATCCCTAAGATTCTCTTAGTCAAGGTCTTATTTGTCATTTACACAGAATACTTACCCGAGTAAGAATGAGACTTTTGGAAACTTTGGAAGAATGAAGTAATCCCAATGTGGTCTTTAATTTCTCAAACAGATCTCTCATTTCACCACGCCGCCGCCGCTCATTGGCAGTGTGTGTCCGGCGATAATAAGCAAAGGCTTCTGCTTCTTTCTGTAATTTGTCACTCCAGTAATCAGGCTTCAGTTTGAGAGGAACTGGTGGAGTCTGTCCAAATAATATTGCCTCGTAAGCATCTTTCACATGTACCTGCCCTCCTCCTCTAACCCAAATGGCACCTCTCTATTTCAGGCATCCATCGTCTTTTGTTTCGACTGTTAAAACAGCCTCCCAATTGGTCATCTTACTACCAGTCTATCATTCCTCCAAATCTAATTTCAACAATGCCAACCATATAAATTCTAATACATGCTGTGTGACCGTATCAGTTCCCAGGTCAAATTTCAGTAGTGCTCAAACGAGGAAGAATTTGTGTGGTGTCGTAACAGATCCAGAAAAGCTTATCTATATAATTTTTTGTTATTATTACTACTAAAACTTGTTTTCAGGACACAAACATATTTTTTAAAAATACTGTAAGATCCTTCACAATCCATGGTAAAGGATCAACTGCCACTCTTTTAAATCATCTTTCTCTCCAACCATTCCTAACTGCTAGAAATTTCCAAAACATACTATGCCATCCACAGCTCCCCGCCATTACACAGGCTTTTGCCTGTACCTGGATTACTTATCCTTCCCTCCCACTCAGTCCTCCATAGCATTTAAAACTTCACACTCAGAACTCAAACTCTGTACTTCTTCAGGAAAGTCTTTCTTGACCTTCAGGATGCCTTAGGCCTCCTTTTTCTATCTTCTTTATTCTACTTTAATTTTTAAAGTTTTTCCTACAAAAACGTTACAGCTGCATATACAGTTTTAAATATATGATCAGCTTGTAATGAAAAGCAACTGTGCCCTGCTCTTATACCCGGAACCTCAGAAACAACCACTTTTTGATTCTTTTAGCAGCTTCTCTGGTTCCTAAATCAAAAATAGTAACATAAGCTTTATTTTCCATTTTCAATGCTACCTCTACTAACTTCCTACTATGCAGAAGAGGATTTACCTCATACTACTCTCTTATCTTGCCACCTCATCGTCCCAAAATAATTGTATCACTAACTTTAGTTCTTTTACCGATCCCTTAGCAACTTGAATATAATTCTACCTTAATTTCTCATTTCATCAACAATAAACAGTCTACCTTGCCTTTCCACATTGTAAAATCAGGTTATTAACACCCACATCCTTCCCGTTATTTCTTCTTCCTTCTTTCATTTCCCAATTTGTCATTTGTATTCACATATTTTTCAAGGCTGAAATTAAATCTTCCATATTTTATTCTAGGTTACCATAAAGTTTTTAAAAATCATTAACAGTAGCCACACTATTATAACATTGTAAATAATTCTCATACAAGATGAACAATTATATTAACATTTCCTGTCTTGAACAGTTTCATTTTGTGTTTTTTCCTTCTGATGTTGCTGTCGTTTTTTTCTGACACTGTTTGCCTTTATCATAACCCTGTAGTACCCAAAATCTCTTATATAAATCCATTATCTTTCTCAAGTTAAATCCATTATGCATTAATATAGAATCAGAGAATAAAAGATGCAAAATAGATAGAAAATCAGTATCAAGTTTAAATATGGCAAAGTGCTGTAAGTATTTGCATATTTGGGGCACAAAACAATAGATTGTATAAACAAGCTATTATAAAAATCTTTATATCTGAAAAAATTTTTAGAATGAAAATAAAACGGTGATATATGCAAAATGATTAAAACCATGTAAATATGTACCATATGATCCTCCAAATCAGATCAAAGCCAGACAAATCATGTTATGGTTTTTTTAAAGGACCCATTTTTTAAATGCCATCCTTATGCTACTATGATATACATTGAATACAGTAAGAAAATTAAAAGAAGGTTTATAATTTCATGGCTTCTTGAATTGCTAGACATCATTAGAGAGAATAAGTTTTTAGGTCACTGAAAATCATGAGCCTAGGCAAGAAAGATGATAGCTTGTTTTACATCAAATTGCCACAAAACTAGTTTTCAGATAAGCATATTGATTTTTGTATCCTCCATATCAATTTTAAATTCTCTAAATTACTCCATCTTCTGAGAGGAATAAAAGAATTGAGAAAATAAAACATTAATAGTGTAATTTCATTAAAGGGAAATAACTGATCATATTAACTCACTGGTAAAAATAATCCTAGGGGAAAAAATCATGTCCAATATAGCTTATGTTGTTTCAACCCTAAGATAAATGTTATCAATTTTACTAAATGAATAATTATCATTAAATATATTCTAAATACCTTTCGACTCCTTTCAGCAGTTTTTTCATCTGTAGAGCTATGGGTACGGCACCTAAATAAAGATAGTATTTTTCAATATCTTACTGAAATTCAGTAATCTAAGACCTATTTCACAGCTATATTGAACCAAACCATCCCAAATTGTCTAAATTGTAACCAGCTTCTTTTCCCCAAGGTGTCATATATATTAACAGCCACATTATTTAACATTATTTTCTCTAAGAAAAGTGTCCAAATAGTCACTAAAACTCCAAACTACTTTTTTCAATCATGAAATGTTTCAGACATACAAAACTGTATACACAAATATACAGCTGTCCCTCAGTATCTGTTGAGGGATTGGTTCTCTCACAGAGATGAGACCTCTCACAGATACCCAAATCCTCTGATGCTCAAATTCCTGATATAAAATGATGTAGTATTTGCATATAACCTATGTACACCCTCCCATATACTTTAAATCATCTCTAGATTACTCATAACACCTAATACAACGTAAATGCTACGTCAAAAGCTGTTAGGGAATTGTTCAGGGAATTATGATAAGGAATTGTTTAGGGAATTGCATTGTTTAGGGAATTATGATAAGGAAAAAAGCCTGTGCACATTCAATACAGATGCAGTGCTTTTCTTTTGAATATTTTCAAACTGTGGTTGGTTGTACCCACGGATGTGGAATCCACATATAGGGAGGGTCAACTGTATAATGAACACCCAGATATATACTATCCAGCTTGAAATATAATCCATCTTGAAATTAGTAGAGATTCTATGTGCAGTCTACTCAATCACATTCCCTTTCTTCCTTCTTATGGGTAAACACTTCCAGACTGAGTTTACCATGTACACCTTTACAGTTTTACTAGGAATGTGTATCTCCAAACAAAAAATACTATGTACCATTTTAAATATTATATATTACACTGTATCTTTCTGCAACCGATTTATTTTGTTCAATGTTACACCTGAAATATGTTGATACACATAGTTCTAGTTCAATCATTTGAACTGCTATATAGTATGCCACGGTGAATTTTCTAAAATTTATTTTTTTCACAATGTTAGTAGTTATTTAGGTTGTTTCCAAATCTTTACGCCATCAGTAAAATTACTGAGTACAAGAAAGCTATGCACATCTTCAACTTTAGTAGATGTCAAACCAGTAATAACAATATATATTCCACTTGCAGTTATTTGAGTTCCCACTGCTCCATATATAGGTAACAGTACTATCAGAAATTTCAATTTTTGCCAATCTTATAGGTATGAATTGGTAATCACTGTGGTTTAATTTGCATTTCCCTAATTATTTGTGAAGTTCAACAAATTTACATATGTTTACTGGTCTTTTAGATTTCCTCTTCTATAAACTGCCTGTGAATATCCATTACTTTTCTATTGGATCATCTTTCTTATTGATTTGTAAGAATTTTTTATATCCTCGATATACTAATTCTTTGTCACTTATTCACATTACAAATATTTTCCTTATAGTCTGAGTTTGCCTTTTCACTGTTTTCAGGATATCCTGGTAGAATTTTGTTACAAGAGGCCTGTTCACTGTTCTGTGGCAAACATATCTTGCTCTTACTCTGTAAACCTTTATCTTGCTCTTGCTCTGTACACCTATCTTGTCCTTTCTCAGTAAATTTCGTTTCATGCTGGCAAAAAAAAAAAAAAAAAATTTAAAAATTTAAATCCTTATTTTAGATTTAAAATTCTAAACATTTAAATAAATTTAATTAAATCTTTGATTTTTTTTTTCCTTTTTGAGACAGTCTTGCTCTGTCACCTAGGCTAGAGCAGTGGCATCATTATAGCTCACTGTAACCTCAAACTCCTGGGCTCAAGCGATCCTCTTGCCTCAGCCTCCTGAGTAGCTGGGACTACAGGCGCACAACACCACACCTGGTTAAATTTTCTATTTTTTTATAGAGACCAGGCCTTGCTCTTGCTCAGGTTGGTCTCAAACTCCTGACCTCAAGCAATCCTCCTACCTTGGCCTCCCTGAGTGCTAGGTGTGAGCTACTGCATGGGGCCTAAATCTTTAATTTTTAATCTTTAATTTTAATCTGTTCCTTTATAGTCTGGGCTCTTTGTGTATTGGTTATTCTTGGCCCTTTATTATTCCAACCCATTAACATGGTATCTCTCTCCGTTTACTGAATTCTTTCTCAATGTCTTCCTATACAATTTTATAAAAGTCTTGCACAGCTTTTGTTAGACATACTCCCTGATAGCTTTTTTTCCTATTATTGTGAATTTTCTAGATTTCATTTTTTGTCTGTTGCTATTATTTAGAAACTCGATTTTGGAAATACAGAACTTATCCAACAATACTGTTGAACTTTTTTTTAGTTTTTAAGGGATTTGAATTCTTTCAAGCTTAACCGGTAGGTAGGTGAAGTAGCCTACAAACAGTTCTGGAGTGAAAAAAATTACTAGTCCTATTTTCTACTCTTTAGACTTTCTTACCATCCATAGGGATAAAGAATTATTCTTTCTCAACTCAGTGCTACTTTCATATGGTAGATAAAGAGATAACAGGAAAAGTATAATGTCTGGCAAATATATTTTCCTTCCCTTCTCTCTCTAACACCCAAATCTATAATCAATACAAGGCTTACTAAAACAGAAAATAAAATAAATTGTCCTGAGCAAGTTGTCATACCCTCCATATTTCATCTCATCAGAGGAACAGCTAGAAAAATTTTCCTAACTGTATCTCACCTGTTCAACTAGTGAAGTAACCAAATTTAGAATTTCAATCCTTATTCTTCTGAAAAGATAAAGAAACCGACCTCTGTTGAGTAGAGTCCACTTACATCCGTTAGTATGCTAGTTGCGTATGTTATCTCATTTAACACTCCAAATGGGGGCATTTTCCTCATTTCATAAGTAAGAAATATGAGATTCAGAGATATTAAAGACTTGCCCAAGGTTAAATATCTACAAACTTACAAAACTATTATCTTTTTTGTTTTTTTTTTTTTTTTTTGAGACAGAGTCTCACTGTGTTGCCTGGGCTAGAGTGCTGTGGTGTCATCCTAGCTCACAGCAACCTCAAACTCCTGGGCTCAAGCGATCCTACTGCCTCAGCCTCCTGAGTAGCTGGGACTACAGGCATGTGCCACCATGCCCGGCTAATTTTTCTATATATTTTTAGTTGTCCGATTAATTTCTTTCTATTTTTAGTAGAGACGAGGTCTCGTTCTTGCTCAGGCTGGTCTCGAACTCCTGAGCTCAAACAATCCGCCCGCCTCGGCCTCCAGAGTGCTAGCATTACAGGCGTGAGCCACCGCGCCTGGCCCAAAACTATTATCTTAACACCAGTGTATCGGGCTCCAAAAGCATGTTATTCACATTTACACACTGCCTCCTAGCAAGGACCAAGAAAGGTTAATTACCTCCAAATTCTAGCTCCTCTCATCTGTACTAATTAGAAAAAAAATAGAGGAATAAAGAACCAGGTCAGTTACCCAGAGCTTCTAAGAGAACATTTAGTTTTGTTTCTGGTTACAAAGGAACAGTAACAATCCAAAGAGACATAAGACTTACGGCTGTTTAAATGACTGTGTGTGGGCAGCTGTGGTCTTCATGTGGGCAACATTAATTTCCTCTGAGAGCTCTTCTACAGTCTCAATGTCCACCTGTTCCTCATCATCCTCAATGTATTCTACACAGTTATTCTGAAATATATCATTCCGACAGTAAATAACGTATTGGGAGGCAAGCACACCTAAAATTTTCAAATGCATGCTTCCCTTATTAAACCTACTAGTGCCAAATATTCCGTGAGTACTGATAATCCTAAACTTACTAATCATAATAAGGAATTAAGTCAGAAAGATAACACATGACTAGAATTAACAACTAAGAACTACACTGTAAGTCATAAATATATAGTAAACAAACATCATTAAACTGAACAGAGTCTCCAAAGGGCTGCAGTGAAGCGTCAATGTTACTGTTAGTGGACAAAATTCAGGTGCAGATATATTAATGCTTCATAAATCTTAAGGTCAAATAACAGTAAAATAAAATTTGGTGAGAGAAAAGGTAGAAAAGAGAAAAACTCAGGTTCTTTTTTAAGGGGCCTTCATGACTAACACGGTATGTTAAGGTGGATCAATACACCTTAACATACATAAGGCAGGTATAGAAATAGAATACAGCTTAGCCTTCCAAGTCTCTCAACCACACAGAATGAGAGCTTTTGAGGAATTTCAGGTTTTAAAAGAAGCCTGAGATTGTTACACTTCCTTATCATATGAAAAAAGGAGTCAATCAAGTAAGCATTTATTGAGCCCCTGTCACAGAAACTCACTGAATATTTTACGTAATAGTAGAATTATATGGATATATAAAATAAGCAGATACATTTAAGTCCACCTTTAAAAGTAGTGTTTACCATGCCAGAAACTAAGCATGGAATATTTTTTCCGTTAACTATAATCATACTATATCAGAGAGGCACAACTCAAATTAAAGTATCCCAATCACCTTATTAACTCTATACTTAAACTTGTTGGAAAAATTACTTACCCCTAAATTACAGGCTCCATAAGGCTGATAGACGCTAAATGCAAGCCATCATTTATGTTCCCAACCCCAATTTAAGCACAATTTAAACAATGTATATTAAATTTTAAAAATGTAAATAATATATATTAAAATTAACTCTATGAAGCAAAATCAACAAAATTCCAAAAGAATCTAAAGAGGTAGTAATGTAGGTAGATACTTTACAAGATTTAAACTGAACAATGCCTGCCATCTGTATGGTTTTAACTGCAGGCTTTGTAAATAACATCCAATAAACTCCACAATGGAATATTTAAAGTGGCTACTCGTGACTTTCCTCACACTATCCCAAATATAATGTTAATTATAAGTATAAAGATAGGTGTGGGAGGCCGGGCGCAGTGGCTCACGCCTGTAATCCTAGC